ATTTTCGTTTTTCTACTGCTCCGTACTTCGTGTGCTCCGTGCTCCGTGTGCTCCGTGCTCCGTGTGCTCCGTACTCCGTGTGCTCCGTGCTCCGTGTGCTCCGTGCTCCGTGCTCCGTGCTCCGTGTTTTACTAATAGCCGTTGAATCATTGAAACCAGCTAGACGAAAGGCAGCTATCAAAGCAGACACTGTTCGCAGACTTTTTGACCAACGCTGACGCAATGGTCAAGGGGGGAGTGTAGATAAACTATAAACTTTAATATAACCGGAAATTAACTATTTGACATTAGTAATGACACTAAAGACAATTATAGCGTGATTGACATTTAATATAAAAACAAGAGCGACGAGAATATGGGGATTTGGTGTAAACAATAGCGTAAATATAATAAATTTGATATTTAACAGAGCAGATTAGTCAAAAATATTATACACATGTTGTGCTGAATCAGCAACTTATATTTTGCACATTTTTGCGTATAACTTCGGAACTAGATGAGATAGAATAGAGCATTAAACGGTCAATCGGCTTATTTTTTCATGCTCTTTCAGATGAAGCAATAAAATGTTTTGTTGCCAATACCCTTTAAAGCATTGATTTTAGTAATACTACAAAATTATCAATTTATACACGTTGAAAACTAACCTCCGTACCATCCGGTTTTTTGGGAGAGGACTTGCGGGCGGGAGACTCCAGCTGCTACGCAGGTAAGTTGAAAACCTGAAAATTTCTCGCAATCTAGTCACGTGGTAGCTAGCGTTTCGCCGTATTTGTAAAAACACTTCAATCTTAAGGTCTCTACTTTATGTTATCTGTTTGTTTTTACAGAATGTTTGTTGTGTCTGTCTTGTTTGTTTTGTTTCCTTTTAATTACTTCATCACTCTTTTTTAAAGGAACACTCCACTAAAAATATATTGAGGTGCAAACAAGAGACTGTACTTACGTTAGGTTACTTGCGAAGTTTGAAAGGACAATTCTTTTTAGGTAAGGAGGAATTGCTCATCGAAGTTTGTAAAATCACCTATAGAATGACGCCATGTTGTCTTTCTCAAGCAGACGCGTAAGGCCAGCCAAGGCCAGCGGTTTCACACAAAATGACGTCACTGAGTGCTTTCATCGTTCGCGCCAAACTTCAAAAACTTTCATTATACTGTGGTAGCGTTTACTGTTTAATTAATTGTGTTTAATCGACTGTAAAATTAGCAAAATATCTAAAATGCGGGGGTTGTCCCTCCTGATATTTCGCAACCAAATGCTTTTAGGTGGACCACTGCGGCATTTTTGCTAATTTTACAGTCGATTAAACACAATTATAAATTAAACAGTAAACACTACCACAGTATAATGAAAGTTTTTGAAGTTTCGCGCGAAGGATGAAAGCACTCAGTGACGTCATTTTTTGTGAAACCGCTGGCCTTGGCTGGCCTTACGCGTCTGCTTGAGAAAGGCAACATGGCGTCGTTCTATAAGTGATTTTACAAACTTCGATGAGCAATTCCTCCTTACCTAAAAAGAATTGTCCTTTCAAACTTCGCAAGTAACCTAACGTAAGTACAATCTCTTGTTTACACCTCAATATATTTTTAGTGGAGTGTTCCTTTAAAACGTCAACTGAGCTCGTACCGAAAAATTTTGATTCTTTGAATCGCGATAGAAAGAGATTTTTTATAGGCCGCTTGACTTGATATTAATATAAATACAAAATAAAGCATTATATTGGTAGAGATAAGCCGATATAAAAAAGCCGATTTCCGATACTGTTGAGGAGCTGATACATAGCAACTATCAGCCGATTGATGGGCAAAACCGATGATCCTTTTATGTGACGCTAAAAGTTTTGTGGAGTTTTCGTCTTTGTCTAAATACTCGCATGTTTCGCAACGAAAGAATGACGATTTTTCTGTTTTAACCACAATAAAACTGAGAATTGACATGCAGGTAAGCTGCGTTTTCTTCTGCGTTTGCTCTATTTTTACGCATGTCTGAAAAACTGATTTTTTTATAATTTTGTGGAATTTCTGTATCATGCGTATAGAGAATTGTTGTTTTTTTATCCTACCATTGCTATGTTCCGTCTTCAGTCAGGACATTGAATATGAACTTGAAATTCATTCCTGCAATCTGACTTGTAAACATTTGAGACCGTGTGTTGACATTCATTGGTAATATGATTAATGTGTTATTTACTGTTGTATTACATGCATGAGGTATGAAATATATGAAGGTGTTGATGTTATGACATATGGCAGTCAGACAGTCACGTGGTGTGTTTGGATCTAAGACATCTAACGTCTTTGAGCGGGAGAGATTAGAGACCTTACGATTTTAGGACGGCAACGCCACGGCGACGGCCAAAACAAACTCCTTCAAATAAATGGAATAATAATAATAATTTACTCCTTCAAGTAAAGACAGTTCGTGGTATATTATCAATCGTATGAATTTAATACAGTTTTAGAAGTTGAAGACATGGGTTTTATCACTTTTATGGTTGGGAAGAGTTCTGCTAAATCCAGTGTGAAGTTGCACTTGTTGCGGCTTGGCCCGCAGCCGTTGTATCAAGACGTGAAAATCTGTGATTTGGCGTTGTAAACAGAGCAAGGACAATGTCCAAATTATTCATATATTGTAATTACTCAATTCTTTTCAATGATCTATTGTATTGGTAGCCGTTGCCGTCGCGTTGCCGACCTAAAATCGTAAGGTCTCTATTGTAATGGCGGGAATGCGAATAATTTGTGTTGCCTTCATGTCAATGTTTTTATATGGTCCCATGCTTCATTGAGAAGCCATGAGGCATGACACACGAGAGCGAGACAGACACCGCTCACTGATACGATAGGGAAAGACAATCGGCCGCTTTCTGAGATACTTGTGATTGACTTAACAATACGATTACGTCATTGAATCGCATGGGTCCTTTAATAGTTTCGCCAAGAAAAGGCGGAGTGAACACAGATTATTCATTTTAAAATTATAGATTAAAAAATAAATCCATAAATTATTTCCGAGTGAAAATTCGTTTATTGACGAAATTTTAATTTCTAACTGGGGTTAGAATTTAGTTTTTACGTGTGGACGTTAGTGGCGTGGGTTAGGAAAACACATATATTCGCAAGCCGTTCATGGTGTGCGTACAAAAGCAATCGCTTGATAAAAATAAACCAACCAGTTGGATTTAATGCTTACAATTTGATTTTAGGGTACCCACTAGACAATGGAGAGGAATATTTCACTAGTGAGGATGATGCTAACGCCAATCTTACTGAAGAAGGGCAGGTATTGTGGTGTTACGTAATTAGCTAGAGAGCTTAAGCAACCGACGTTTTTGACAGCACGGACGAACTGAAGTCAATCCAGCTGTTATAGATGAGTGATGGCAGCAGCCGTTCTTGTTTGAAATCACAAACGTGAAACTTCATTGACTGCCGCTCTTGATTTCAAGTAACAACTGTTGACGCCATCACTCGTCATCTACAGTATAACGGCTCCATTGACCTCCGGTTGGCGTTTGTGTTATCAAAAACGTCGCTTGCTTAAGCTCTCTGATATATCATTAACACTCGCGTCAGTAGAATGCTGATAAATTAATAATGGTAATTGAACTGAGTATAGTGCAATTTGGACTGAAGTCAAACGCGTGATTACAAAATCGCACGAAGCGGGAGTGTGATTTGTAATCACATGTTTGATTTCAGTCCAAAATTGCACTTCCACTTTATTACATTCATTTTGAAATCTTTAATCTTAACAATTTTTGTAAACCGGTGTCACAGGAAATTACCCCCCCCCCGAAAATTTCCCCCCCCTCCGGGCCATTTGAAAATTTCCCTTAAAAATTATAGTTTGTTTTATCTTTAGGCTTGGAAATCATAAGGCTTCTACTAAAACACATTTCTAGAAATTTTTCTCAACTTTGTAGAAGACAACGTTAATAAATAATGGCTGTATCATTAAGCTATGGAAACGGAACGTCATTCAATTGCAAACCTTTGTGCTTTTGTGTGTGCGGAATGTTTTTGTGAGCCATGAAGCATGCAGTCTACTTTCGTTTTCACGGAATGCTTCTGTAATGCATCCCAACCACATGAGCGATTATATATACTGTGTATATGCAAGTAAAATGCATAGGAAAAGGTTGTTTTACGAAGTATCCACTCATTTGATTTTGTTTTTCGAACAAACGTTTCCACTCAAAAGTGTACTTTTACTGCTAACTGCTCTCTGTTATTTATTAGACGCGTGCATATTAACATATTCGCCAACGCATGATGTCATCGTTTGCTAAAGTGCGGTTGTTATTCTGACCAATTTTATACTATGTGTCTGAATTTATAGATCTAAATAACTTGTAATATCTTAGAAATTCCTAAAAATCGTTTCGTGTTCTTAGCTTAAAGTTAAGCCATCATGCATTAACGTTGTCCTCTACAGATACCCATGCAGTGTGATGTGTCTAGCATGTCTGCACTAGCACATTATTATTATTATACGCTTTTCTTCAAACGTTTAGCTCTTGGCCGCAATGAAGGCACAAATAAATTATGCAAACTAACTATAAATACTGACAAACACTTTTAGGATCTTCGTTTTAGAAGAAGCTTCACGATTTCCGAGCTTATAGCGATAAATTAAACTATGTTTTCGAGGGGGCCAAATTTCCCAAGGGGAGGCCATATTTCCTAGGAAACTGGGGAAATTTCCTGGAAATTTGGCCGGGGGGGGGGGCAAATTTCCTGGGACACCGGAAACGTTTTTGTTCGCAAAAGACACACCTCCGGTACCTGAACCTCCTTGAGTGCTGTAGCATAGCAACAAATAAGCGAACAAGATGAACTTTTAGTTTTGTTAATAAATTGTATTTTATTAATATACGTTCAAAATACTGCAAAAATGTTAAAGAAATGAAGACATTCATAAAGAATAAGATACAACACAAGTAAGTTTAAACATACTGTAGGTTTTACGAGTGATTTGATAGAGTTTTGGTGTATTTTTGTCCGTTTAAAATCGGAAATACGATAGGCAAATTTACCTTGTTTTGCCTGGCGCTTTGAATTTGCTTTTGTTGGCATTTTGACCATGTTTGATAGAAGATTATGTTCTTAATTTGCCTGTTACTATTTGTGAATTTTTAAAAAAGTTGAAAATTGTTTGCAATTCTTTGATAGTTTACTGTAGCTATCCATATTTTCTGTTTTTATGTGCAACAAATTGCTTAGGCAGTCAAGAGCAATCATGACATATGTAAATTTGTTGTTTTTGCTCATTTGCCTTATCACATTTTTCTTAAAATTGATTGGCTGTTTGAATCCTATGATTAAATATGATTGGTTGGCTGAAGTCAGCACTTTAATGTAATTGGTTGAAAGAAGCACTGCTGTGAACCGATCGGATTGCAGGAAACACCATTGATTTCAAAATGAATATAATAAAATATGTAATTATTGGGCGAGGTTGAACAAAATATAGTGATTTGTCATTGGCGTGGTGAAGTATTGCCGATGCCGAAGCAGATTAATTTGGCATTTGCCAATGAAGCATACAGATAAATTATTTGCCGATGCCAAAGCAGATATTTAAGTCATGTGTGCCGATGACGAGCAGATCAATTATTTTCCGATTCTGGGGGTGCAAATTAGGTTACCAACTTATAATTAGTTTAAAAAAAAAATCTTAGTTTTCTTAACTTTTTTGCCTTAAATTCCATGTAATATATAGCTTGCTGTAACTTTTAGTCTACCAATGCTTTTATGGTTTAAAAAGTATTGTTACAGCCTTCCTCCTCATAGTGTTCGTCACTGATGCTTCGAACTGGTAAGTGGTACTGGGAATTCATCGTGAATGAGTAGGGAACTTGACATAGATCTGTATTACTAAAGAGATTTATGAATAAATCATTAGGTTACTTTGTCACGTATTTACAAAGTACAGTACAGTTAGTTGTTACAGCAAAACTAGGTACTGTATAGTAACTGTTCCTGGCTCCACTCCTGCTTATACTAAGCAAAATAGACTGAAATTTTAGAAATTTTAAGACATAAGTAATTTGTGATGTTCTCTTGCAGGCAACGCTAGAAAGACTTGAAAATGTATTCCAAATACAATCCCAACAAGACTTTGTGAACATTACAAATCAAACGAACGGAACTGTAAATGGCCATGGTATGTAGGTTTTACAAAACATCAATGGCAATAAAACGTGTATTTTAGAATGACTTTTGCCCGCTTTGGCGAGATCCACCGTGAATGGCATGGAACGTTCTTGATTCCACAAGATGTTAAGAAAAGAAGTCGATATCATGTGGGGGGGGGGGGGGGGCGTGGTGACAAGACGTGAGGATGACAAGGCGTGCAGGGCGCAACATGATAAACATGGAAAGTTCCAGTATTTATTTTTTGTTCTAGTAATTCTTCAAATAGTGTTTTTTGAAGAAAGGACTTAACTTCAAATAAAATATTCCGATATACCGAAGCTACAGTATTTCATGTTGGAGCCACATCATGACCTAACAGTATGATAGTAATCCAGTACAGACTACTGACATCATTACCGATGTTACAAACATCATTACCGATGTTATTTCTATTTTCAAAGAACTTTCCAGGTTATGAATATGCAATATGCAAAAATATTGGGAGGTCAGTCCCCCAAAATAAGTTCAAACGCGATTCCTTGCATGATTTCAAATTAATTTTATGCATGCTCGGATGTTTGCATAAATTACAGTACGAAATTCGCAAGTCAATTCCCAAAGGTCCTAGAGTTATTAACATGCAGCGTTTAATATTTACAAAATTATTGACATGTAGTGTTTATTTACAAACAAAATCAATCTTCAACGTGCCATCCATTTCATTTTACGTACCCTCCTACGTTGAAGATTGATTTTGTTTGTAAGTAAACACTGCATGTAAATAATTTCGTTAAATGACCTATGGGAATAGACATTTTATGCACAGTGGTGTCAAGTAATGAAGTAAATGTACTTCGTTACTGTACTTGAGTACTATTTTTGAGAAGTGAGCATGTAACAAAGTAAACTTTTTCTACAGTAATTTTACTTGGAACGAAGTCGTTTTAAGAAGTAACGCTTTACTTCGTTATTTCATTTTGTGGCGAAGTATTTCGTTACTTTCCAACTTTTGTTTAATTTACGTAATTTATTCCCAATTTATTTTACGTTTGGGATAGGTAATAGGACTTCTACATGCGTTTGGGATCTCTCGTTTGTGACTTACTTATATAAGCATTATTTATTTAATGGATTTCTTATATCTTCAGCGGGGTCTGGAAAGTAGACCATGCCGTGAAATATTGTACATTTATAATGCGTGTGCTGTTTTGTGTTTTTTTGTATCTCAATCCATGAATGGAGAAGTCCCCACACACACACACTCTACAGACAATAGTACTTTTACTTTGTACACTCAAGAAGTGAAGGAGCGAAATAGTACAATCTGCAGACATGCATGTTTCGGCGTTCAACGCCTCGTCAGTGGAGCTTGGTACGCGTCTAGATACATGATACCTCCGTCTAGATACATGATACATGAGCGTGCTCTCACCAAGCGCTTGTGGTACAACACGAAGGTATCGACGCATCCAGACATGCGCAGAGTGTAATGGGGCCAGAGTGCTCAAACAACCACTATATATATATATATATATATATAT